GTCTTTTCCCCATGGGGATTCCGCCAGTCAGATGGTACTATGATTGGACTCTCCAGGGTCACTCAGTTTAACCTCCACAAGCTTTTCTTTCTAGGCAGCGATACTGCCTTCCCCCCAGGAAGGACTGGTTGGAAAACGTCGGCACCAAAAACCACGAGCACCCTAAACCGTCCAGCGGTTGAACCGGCGGCGAATTATCCAATACGGTCGATATACTTTTAAAACCAAAGAGCCCGGTGCTGCTCAGAAGGCACCTGGTGTTAACAGCTGCGCTAGGAACGAGATAGTAATGTGCTTCCTCGGGCCAGGCTGGCCTCCTGCAGCCAAGTGGGTCAGACTATTTGGTCACCAGCTCCGGGCGGGATCCCCAAAGAAGACCCAACTGTCCGCTGCCTCGCGGGTCCAACTTCTGAGTCATAGGCTAGGGGCAGGATCCCCGAACAAAACTCTATATCCTCCCACTGCCTTGTGGGTCAGACTTTTGAGTCAAAGGTTCAAGGCAGGTTACCTCAACCAAACTCCCTTTCTCGGCCTGGGCAACCGGGAAGTATCATTTGCCCGCACAATTATTTTTCCACCAATGTCCTTCAGCACCCCTTCCTACCACACAAGCAAACGTCGCTGGGTTATTTGGCAGTCAGTCATCTGACCGAAGGGCCTTATGATCCCTGTTGCCTACTAACAATAAACGAAATAACATCTTTCTAAATACACGAGGTCTTTCTACATAGGAGCTTTTACCGTCCGTACTCTATGTCAAACTGGCAAACAGGTGATGCTCGCTGAAACCTTGCACTCCATTAAAATTGGAGCATGCTGTGTCTCCAAGGCACGCATACAAGACTGCAGCGTGGTTGTGCATCTCAGAATGCCTAGGATGAACTCAGCTATTACACATTTCCCCCTCCGTGTGTCCGGTGAACCAGTAGGGGGGACTTGTGAAATATATAGTGGGGGTTGCACTCAGCCTCGTATCTCAACACGCTGTGCTGGAGATTGGATCCAAGTGGACAGTCGTCTTTGCATCGTCCGGTTATCCAGCTTGATCAAGCCTCTCGGCATAAGAAGCGTTATCTGTTTGAAGTGTCAGTTTATGCCCCAACGGAGTGCAGTTTTGACGCTGAGAACACAATTTATCTAGGGTTATCTGGGCTCATTCGTCAAGCAAAAGGCGCTGGCATTGTCATAATTGCGGGATATGTGAATGCTCAATTTGCTCGTCAGAGCTCTTTGAAATCACATTTGGGTGGCCGATTCATAGTCGATGCTCGTCGTACAGACAACCGAGGCGACTCCAACTATGCGTCGATCATCAACTGTTTCTGGTCAGTACGAACTTTCTGCATAAGTTTTCGCATCGCGTAACCTTGTGGCCATCAACTGCAAATAAACCGTAGACTCAGTTGGATCACGCGGCCGTCAGCCAGCGGTGGAGAGGTATAATTCAAGACTGCCGTTCCCTCAGGGGCACACAACTTGATTCCGATCACGGCATAGTGCGTGCACACCGGACAGTTCGTCAGCCAATCTGGATCGAGCATCTTTAGCTCTACGCTTCTCGCCCACCTCACGGAGATTCTAGCACGACCTTGTGGAACATTCTGTGATAACCCTATAAGTACGGTTGTAATAATATTCCTTCGTCTATATAGATGGCTGTCTGAGGCTACCGTGCCTTTTGATACACCATAGTGGGCGGAGGAGGAAGCCAAGGACCGACACAGAGCTGAACCACCGTTCAGCAAAACACAATATCCCCAGTCCCTCGCAAGTCAGCAAGAAGCATGCCGATCCATCACATTCGGAAAACTACCATGACTCAACAGTATCACTCTGAGCTAACCCAACAACCCTCCACAGTAAACCAATACTGTGGTGGCAGTGAGCATGTAGATTAATCGTTGCAAAATGTGAATGGAACTATGTTAGTGTCGTTCAGTGCTATCTGACGACTTCTCCGATTCGACCGTAAGACCAATTGATTCCAGGAAGTCGATACCAACAGGCAGCTAGTACGACGGCGCGTGCAAATCCCTCAGACATCAAATAGTGAAGAGTCTTAGGATTGACTGAGAGCTCTGGTAGACATCGAAAGCTTGGAAGATGGAGAAAGCTTTTGGTACCGGAAACGACCGTGCCCCATATCAAATCATTCGATCAACTGTCCCTAGGAGAGCAGTGGTCAGTGAAACGATAAGTGAAAGAGGCGGCTCATTAATTCATCCACAAAAACGTCAACTGGAAAGATGGACCAAAAACTTTGAAGAATAGTTCAGCTGCCCTCCTGCAATCCTACGGAGAAAGTGCTGCGCACGAATTTATCAGCTCCCGCCTCCAGTGTGCATCCATCTACCTTACCTCTCCAAATCATCGATGGACCAAATTGTGGGCAGCTACAACCACTGTACGACAAGTACGCGGTTCATTCAGCTGATAATGATGATTTATGGAATGTCCGACTTCATTGCATGCCTCCGCCTGAATTTTGATCCATTGCTCTTTCTGGGCTCTACGCTTACAGCATCAGAAATTGAACTGTTCATCGATCACGTTCTATGCTGTTCTCTGTGGATGGCACTGGGCAATTTTGACAATATCTATTTCTTGAAGTCACCTGGCTTGCACAACACAGTGCATTTCCCCACATTTTATTTCGAACACCATGGCGTTTTTGTAGGCTGCTTCTTTATGTTTGTCTGGAAGATTCCTTTTTACGGTATCACAATATTGCATCCTATCCATACACATCAAACGTTTATTGCTACAACGACTGTAAACTGGCCTCGGTCTGTTCGAAGGAGAGATCACTCAGCATGAAACCTGGCAAGCTTAGAGCATATAATAATTTCTTCTGGTTTTCTTGTTTGTCTGCTGAACTCCCTGCCTGTACTGCAAGCGTCTTACTTACAACCGATCAATGTTAGACATCTACCAGTGTACTCAATACTAGACGGTTTTAAGTCACTCGTACATGGTGGAGAAATTGCTGTAAAATGTGGCCGAAGGTCCAGTTGAATGATTCATGTTAGTAAGCCCAATTGAGTTTTCTCCACTTTGTCACTTGTAACTATTTCAAATATCCTTCCTTTGTCTATTGGCTCGGCGTTCATTCTGCTTGACTCCGTTCACAAAAAACTTGTGCACCTCATACGTACTGCTGATTCCGAATGCTCTTACCTCTTTCTTCTCCGTCTACCTTTTTTATTTTATGCATTTCTACAGGCCAAATATCTGATTGTGGGTGGTCAGGTCGCATAATTCCTCTTCCTAAGAGACTTCCATTGAAATTTTGCTCTACTGCACCCACAGCTCACCTAATTAAGTCTTTTAAAAGAAGGTACTCGGCCACTTGCTGTTTCAGGACCGACCCCATCTGTACTATGATCATCTTTTCTCAAAGCTCCAAGCACACGTTTTGTTACTTATCGGAGCCCCATTGATGATCATCAAGACCTTCGAGCAGTTCTGACTATTCGCAAAGAACCAGATTCAACGCAATTACCAAGCGACGGAAAACCCATTTGATCTCGGTCGACTACTTCGCTGATCCGATGCAGTATACCATCAACTCTGCTATTTTGCAAGAAGGTACTCTGTCACTTCAATAACGGTAGTAGCTCAGCCCGGTTCCCCGTCTGAACCTTCCAAGCCAGCGTTTTCGTTAAAAGGGTCACCAAAGGTGCATAGCTTGTATCAAACACCAAAAACCAGGTCAAAAACTCACTTACGGCGAATAGTGTTTAAAGTGTATGAGGCGACAACATTCTGGGAATTCCGATAGCTGGACGCGGTACGGACAACCGGTATTCGGCAGATACTGAATCAGGATTCGCTGTTAGGTCCCCAATTTCGGCTTATCAGAGCTCTCCTTGATGCTGGACCGGCATCGGCTCGATCTTCAGACCAATCGCTTACGGGTTAGGCTTCTTGGTCATAGTAGCGCCTAACTGCTATTGGTGAAACGGTTTGAGTTCGTGGTCCCTTTCCCTTTTTCCCCACGTATATCAAACGTCATCCAGTGCTTGTGTCCTCGATTGGTTACGACCAGACCGATGGCTCCGTCATGGTATATCCGTAGCCTGGTTTTCAGGCTTTTTTCAGCTTCAGAACAACTTCGCTTGTCTGACAGACGAATTTTCATCACGTTCTGTTTACGTAACTGCACAAAATTGGTTGGTTGTCCCTTTGTGGTTCGCATTACTAGGCCCTGGATGATCGTCTACAGACCATTACTGTTCCGTAGCAATCAGTTCTCAACTGTTGTTCTGTGAATACTTAAGCGTGATCTTATCTTTACCTGTTCATAAGTAAAATGAGCTTGCCTCTGTTCATTGTTCGCGATCGAAGAATCTACCTACTCCACGTAATCTAATTCTTAAGAATGTAACCGTATGTATCTTTTCGCATTGGCTTTATCGTCCCCCGGTTTTATGATATCCTACAAATGCCAACCAAAAGTCACATTGCTGTGGTGGGGTTTGTAAGGCTCAAGGCCTTCCAGTAGATTGGTTTTCCGTATATGGTGTTGTATATCGGCAATTGCCATGCCTATTTGCCAAGTGCCAGTTGATCATGTAGATGATGCCTGTGTTCCGTCGATGACCCAAATTGTTTCACGAATAGTTTCCCAGAACCGTCTCCGGTGATTATCCAATCTACAATGTGTTTTGTTCGAGTGAGTTCGATTAAAAGGGTGCCAGAAACGTCTTTTCGCAGACATTGCTTTCTTACCGAACTGAAATAATCTTTTTAACATCACGATGCCCTCATCTTTTCGAATCAAAGTCCTGGCTATCCTAAGCTGATCGTGGGTGATCGGGTTTCTAAAAGTGGCTAGTGGAATTGTACAAAACAGCTGGATTGCAACGAAGAGGTTGTATGCATATTGTATGCTTATTTTGCACCAGTTAGACGTGATTTGATGTTGTTACAAGATAATGGAAAACCTCGGAGCATACTAACTTTTTGTTTCATCCATGTTTTTAACTCCTACACTCTAGCTGGAACTGATTCGCAAACTGTCCCCCAACTCAAAGGAATCGTTGCAAATCCCAAAAACTCAAATGGGTTCAGAAAATCGTATGCGAGATGCGGTGGATGATGATGATGATCTCGTAATGCCCAACACCTTACCTGTCCAGCTGCTCTGCCCCTTGTCCAAATGTCGCATCGAAGTCCCGGTGCGTGGCCGTCATTGCAGTCATGTTCAGTGCTACGATGCAACAACCTACTTGATTATTAATGAGCGCAAACCATCGTGGAATTGCCCTGTCTGTGATAAGAAGGTCTATTACGAAGATTTGATGATTGACGGGTAAGTGTCTGTGTCGCACTTTTTCGACTAAATTGTTCGGAATGTGAACCTAGTTCACCCATGATTGCAGAACGGCGAGACTTTAGAAGATCTGTTCTCATGTCTGTTCTCATGATTAGCCTGCATAATACATCCAAGAGTTTCTCATTGTTAGTGGTGTGAGGAGATTTGGAATTTTTCAAATTGAGATCTCGTCCTGCAAGTGAAGCCAGGCTATGCTGACTGAAAGATGAGTGGGCCTATATCCTGTCTAAAAGCGAGCTAATCATACTGCTGATCAGCCGCTCGTGGCCGGGGGGTTAGGTGTGCAAACTACTATCCGGGAGGTCGCTGGTTCGAAACTTTATGGAGTTTCGTGACATGTACACTGCTCGGCTTTTGGGCGCAGATCAGCTTCACTTGCAGGACGAAATCTCCATTATCTTTCTCAAACCTTCGGTGTGTTCGGAACTGCTTGTCCAGACCGCGTGATACAGATTATGTAAAACGAAATACCAGTTATCTGTTGCGTGTACTCAGGTGAGAATAGTCATGTGTATGGTCGAACGGTGCGCTGAATAACTTATGTTGGAGTCACTATGCCCCTCCCCCCACAATCGCCTGGAAACGCTAGACATGGTCATCAACTCCTTCAGTACTACGACGTGGTCTAGTTTTTCTTTCGACTGGGCGGTCGCCAGGGTTGGCGAACCAGGTATATATATAAATTATATATATATATATATA